CACAGTTCAAACGATAGTCCGTCGTAACAGTTCAACAAGCAACGTAGAAACGACAAAATGGCGTCACAAACCTTCACTTCTCACCGGCAAAACCAAAACAACAACAAAAAAAAAAAAAAAAAAAAAAAAAACGTGTGTTCGTTTACCAAGCTCAGAAAATCCAAATTTGCCACATGAGCGAAAAACAACGGCTTTTGTTCACCGAGATATCTTTCTGATTGGTCACTCCATTCAGGGGAGAGTAGAACATTAGCATAGATTCTGGTCCTTAAAGTAGATCTTTGCTAACTACTTTTTATTCATTTTTCTTCAGCAGATCGCTCTCAAAACACGAACTCTTTTACAAGGTAGGTGATTGTCTCTTTCACTACATAAAAACTGTTAACAGGCGTTTAGCAAATAATTACCTGACTGAGGTATAACGGGTCGCAATGCAAAATATGGTTCATAAATAAAGTCGAGCACATACTTGCCCGTTCTGTTACTGCGCGTGTGAAACCTTCACGGGCGAAGAGGAAGAAAAAATAAAGGAATAATAACAATGATCAAGTATTTTATTCTTTATTTCATTTCCTTATTAAAACAATTTTACTCGTTTTAGATTAAAAAGTCTCCATAAGAATCCTGCTTGGTTCTTTCTTCCATAGCTTGGAATCTTCGTATTCTGTGATCATTTTCAAGGCTTCCATTCTTGCGTTCATGTTTTGGTCCAGCGTGTTACTGGTCCACTTATCGACGCCTTGCATATCATCACTCGGCACCTGCACGCTCGCGTCACACATTTCGACTGCGTCAGTGTTGATACCGATGTTTGACTTGCACTCCAGTTCATCGTCAGGAAAATTCGCTAATAAATAAATAAATAAATAAATTAGGCTTTTCGGAAAATGGAATTCTGATAGAAGAAAAAATGAAAAAGAAAAAAAAAGAAGCAAAACGTAAACATTACAAGCATGTCATAGTTTACAGCAAACCTCCAAGTAAGACCTTGGTGAGCAGTCAATAGAATATATTCATCAACATTAGTCACTGTTTCTGGCCTTGGCAGATTGCGAAGTAGCATGACTCATTACCTGCCATTTATTACGCTATTAAGCAAGATAATCTTAATAAAAAAATAAAAAAAATTTTGTTAATTTTTCGTATGTACACTTATTTTGTAGAGATGCCGTATTTTATTTTGAAATTAAAAAAAAGTATCCAAGTGTCAAACTATTAACTGTTGTTTTCGTCTGCTAATTTAATATTTTTTTTTTTTAAATTTTTTATTGCAGACATAGTATCGTCTGCTGTAGTAATTATTTTTCATACAGTGCGGTGCATGTCCAGCTGAATTTTATATTTAAACTTTAGCAATTGAGCTAATTCTTTAATATTTTGTATATTATTATATAGTATTAATAATGTGAAAGTTTCAAATAATTACTATGAATAGAAAACCAGTTCTTGTAAAATTATTCAAACCTCGAAAAACGATTGGTGTATTTTATTACAAAAGTGACAAACACTAAAATTTTATAAAAATTAATATTTAGTTTGTTGTCAATGACTGGCTATTACTTCAAACACTATTTTTCATTAACTTCTGAGTGTCGTGTTGGTTAATTGAATCCCAGGCTTTCAAAATTTCACTTTTGAGCTTTTTTTTGTTATTAAGTTGTTGCCCATTCTTGTATATTTGTCTAACCAATATCCCCCAAAGGTACTCGATAGGATTGAGATTGGGTGATCTGGCAGGCCAATCCATAACATTGATTTAGTTAGCTTGAAACCACTCCATAGTGGACTTGGCTTTGTGAACAAGAGTATTGTCTTGCTGTAAAACTCAATTTTGACCACCATTCCCCCCCCCCAAAGGCAAGAGAGCAGTAGACAATAAATTCTGATAACTCAAAGCATCAAGTCTTGTGTCAATGAAGACAATTGGAGTTTTGCCTTTAAATTCGAATGCCGCCCAAATCATAACACTCCCTCCTCCTTGCACACGTTTGGAAAAGACCAACTTCTTTCTAAGGTTATGCCAATAATAAGACTGGCCATCCGGATCATTCAAATTAAATTTTTTTTCATCAGAAAATGCAACACCTTCCCATTGCTTGTCCCAAGTCATATGAGCTTTGACCCAATTGAAGTACCCTAACATATAGTGCTCGATCAAACATGGAGCGTTTATAAGCTTGCCATAACTGAACTCAGATGATCTGTTAAATTCTTTCCAAACCGCACAACATGAAACACCCAATTCCAAAGTTGTCTGGATTTTGGAACACAATGTGACAGAATTGGTTGCTTCTTTTTTGATTTCACTGACATTCCGGTCACTTAATTTCTTGCTTCTTTCGGCTCCTTTCTTGGCTCCGTATTCTTCCGTGTTTGATAAAAAGTTGTTAATAACCCATTTTTGGACGCTTAATCCTAACAGCAATTTCTCTACTACTCAAATTTTCATTTTTGAGTGCCATTATTTGACCTTTTTCAAATTCACTTAATTTTGTACCCAAAGGCATAGTTTATGTCAATTTTGTTAGGTGAAAAATGCTGGTGAGTTATTAATAATAATTTATAAAATTTTAAGCGATTGTTGAATTAAATTATCTTAACTTGTACTGCTCTTCTTTTTTTTTTTAAATGGCCTTATAATTATACACCAATCGTCTTTTGAGTTTTTGAATAATTTTACAATAAGTGATTTTCTACTCATAAAAATTATTTGAAACTTTTGGATTATTAATACTATATAACAATATACAAAATATTAAAAAATTAGCTCAATTGCTAAATTTTAAAGATAAAATTCATCTGGCCTTATAATTATACACCACAGTGTATTAGCAGGGAAAAGGAAGAAAAGATAACTGGTCAGCTTATTTTGCCCATATAGGGTCTTCTCGTGAGTATGCAAATTGACTCGTTTCTGTTTAGCCACGCCTTGTAGATGCTTATAAAAGAGCGTGTTCGCGCCTTTCGGACCTTTGGTCTGTGACTTTAGCCAGAAGGGAGAGTGACGTCATCATCCTTTTCTCCCTCAACTCAAGAACGTTCGTCGGCAACAGGAGTCATGAACGTTTCCATGACGTCCGATATCCACAGAACAAAACAAAAAGATTTCTTCATACTGAAATACTGCTTTCACAACACCTAGATTTTTTTTTTTTTTTTACGAAGAAAGCGTTTTCTGCATCTTTTAAAGCAATTTCTCTTGTGAGCCAAAAAATATTCATTTTTAAATATCCGGTAGATTAAGCCGAGATTTTAAAGGGTTAAATTTAAAACCCGTTATTAAGAACCTTACTGGTCGCATGAAACATTTAAAAAAAAAACACGGCTATGGTGAAAAGAGCTGAGATAGCCTTTTTGTTCCGCTAGTAAGTACAAAGAAAATCATTCTTTTTACGAGTGTGATGTTATTGGCTGGAAATAATCCCATAGCTTTTAAACTTACTATTAATGCAATTTATTCATTTAGATCTACATCTAACTGTTGTTTATATTGTAAATAATTTCTCTTTCTTATTTTTATAAACATCGAATATTTTTGTCATTTATCGCCTTCGCTGTCTTTACTTCATATCGGACTTGTTGTCGCTTGTTCATAAATGGTGGGAATTTTTCGATAGTACTCTTTCAAGCTGCCACTTTTTGGGGGTGGGGGTCTAGTATTATCGTTCCGTAAACGTTCGGGATTGCAGGCGTCAACTTAAAATGTTTTTTCCTATAGATCTATTGTCTGTTATTTATTAATTAGTAAACGCAGAATTAGGTTGGTGCAAAAATAATGACGTAAGAATGTCGTTTTTGACGTAAAAAAAGTACGTCAAAAAACGACATTATTACGTCATTATTTTTGCACCAACCTAATATCATCCCTCCACCTCGTTTTTAGTTTTACTCTACTTCTTTCTCCAAGCCATCATACCTTAAAGATACAATCTGGAAAGTTCTGTCCGAGATCTTTTGATGTATCCAAATAGTTTCAAGGATGCTATCTAGGGGTGAAAAGAATTTGGTTACATTTTTAAGAGTGGTTAATTACACTCTGTTCATCAGCTTAGGATGATGATGAATTGGATTTGAATTGATTTTTTTTTTACGGCTTATCAACCCTTTTGCAGGTTATTTAAAGCCAAAAAAATATTTTTAGATTGCAACAATTTTTTGGAGATAAAAACGATTTCTAATTAACCTATAGCTGAAGAGAAAAAATGGTGGATTCATACCTTTCCTAAAGATATTTGGGCATAAGTGCAAATAACGAACCCGACTGGAATCGAAACTCTGCTCTCCGATTCCCAAATTCCGAACCGTTATCAATTACATCACCCGAACATCCAAGCTTACAGCATGTGGTATTTTCAAGCAGTCACTGATCTAGGTACTGACTAGGCCTGACGTTGCTTAACTTAGTTGATCAAACGATTTCCTTTTTTTTTTTTTTTTTTTTTTTTTGGAGATAATAATAATTTAGTGATACAAGTCTTGAAAATTAACACAGCTGGAGCTGAAGAAATGAATTCATACCTTTCCCGAAATTAATTCATACCTTTTACGACTAAATGAATATAACGAACCCAACCTGAATTGGAACTTGGCTTTCCGATTAACAATTCCGAGCCTTTATCTATTACACCACCATCACATCCAAGTTTACAATACCTGATATTCCCAACCATCTCACTAAATCATTATTATTCCCTCACTCCACCCCCAATAAATTATAACATCCTAAAAATATTTTCTGGCTTTAAATAACCTGCAAAAGGGTTGATAAACCGTAGAAAACGAATCAATCTTTTACTTTTAATTTTGGACTCATGCGTCGTAGATTGATTGATTGATTCGTTTTTTTACGGCTTATCAACCCTTTTTCAGGTTATTTAAAACCAGAAATTATTTTTCATAATGTAAGAATTCGTTTTTCTTTTTTTAGTGATACAAGTCTTGAAAATTAACCCATAGCTGGAGGTAAAGAAGTGCATTCCTACCTTTCCCAAGGGCAGTGTACCTGATATTCCCAGGTGTTCACCTACCTAGATACTCTCCAGGCGAGGCGACGCATAACTGCAGTGATCGTACGGGAACCGCTGATTCAACGTAATATGGCCGTAAGTCAGATTTAAATTTCTGGGTCAGTGTTACACTATCCCAGACATACAGAACAACTCGGCGAACGCAAGAAAGTATATCATTGTTTGAGTTTATGGATTTGGACTCTATTTGAGTTCAGCATAGATTTATGCACACCAAATGCAGCCGGGCTTACCAGACATATCACTTTGAAACATCGGTTCTCGTACGATCACCAAAGTTAAGCAACGCCGAGCCTGAAGAGTACATAGGTAGGTGAACGCTTGGGAATATCAGGTACTGTAAACTTGGATGTGACGGTGGTGTAATAGATAAAAGGCTCGGAATTGTTAATCGCAGAGCCAAGTTCCAATTCCGGTAGTGTTAGTTCTATTCATTTAGTCGCAAATGCCTTTGGGAAAGGTAGGAATGCACTTCTTCAACTCCAGCTATGTGTTAATTTTCAAGACTAGTATCACTAAATTATTATTATCTCAAAAAAAAAAAAATGGGAGAAAAACAAATTCTTACATTCTGAAAAATATTTTCTGGCTTTAAATAACCTGTAAAAAGGGTTGATAAGCCGTAAAAAACGAATCAATCGATCAACCAATCAGTCTATGACGTATGAGCCCAAAATTAAAAGTAAAAGATTGATTGGTTTACTATGGTTTATCAACCCTTTTGCAGGTTATTTAAAGCTAGAAAATATTTTTCGGATGTAACAATTTATTGGAGGTGGGGTGGGAGAATAATAATGATTTAGTGAGATGGTTTCATACCATTCTCTATGGTAATTGCGCGTCTTTGGGAATGACAACAGAAACCTACACCTAGTAAAAATAAACTCAATAATGGTAATGGTTAGATTAGCTGTTTCCATTCAGGAAACATTTGACATTCATTGGCCGATCATCTAACGTTACTGTCGATTGAAATTCATAAAATCGTTCTCTTAAAACAGTTTTCCTGAAAATGAAACTTCTGAACTCCAGTAAATGTTATAGCACTTTCTAATAATGACAGGAGTTTCCTTCTAAACCTTTTGTTTTTGACAATGTGAATTTAATATCATGATTATATCATTATTTTCTTTTCTAGTTACATCTCATTTTGTAACGTCAGTCTGCAGGATCTGTTGACGGGTCGTTTTCTTATAGATTTATATGATTAATTCGTTTGACGTCATTTTTTATGATTGACTAATTTGTTTATTTTACGGCTTATCAACCTTTTGCAGGTTATTTAAAGCCAGAAAAATATTTTTTTAGATAATAATGATTTAGTGATGCAAGTTTTACAAATTAACCAATACCTGGGGAAGGGGAGTGGAAGGTGTGTTCATGCCTTTTCCAATGGTATTTGCACGGGAATGAATATAACGAACCATACTGGAATTGGAACTTGGCTTTGTGGATCCATGAGCCATCGGACCTTATCCACAGGACAACCCCCACCGACCCAGGTTGACAAACACCAATTCCCTATCCAGCATTTTCATTTTAGGGAGTTGGCAACCATATTTTGAACAGAATCAAAAGTATCTGAGAATCGAAAGTAAAGGTCGTGATTTTTATTTCGGTCAGATCACACTTTATCAGAGATGTTTATATATATATATATATATATATATATATATATATATATAAACATCTCTGATAAAGTGTGATCTGACACACACACACATACACATACATATATATATATATATATATATATATATATATATATATATATATATATATATATATATATGTATGTATGTATGTAGAATGAATTTATTTCTCACGCGGTCCGTGTTTATTTTAAGTTATCAAATATCGGGATGAACTCATTACTCACTCACTCATAAGACAGAGCTTCAGTGTTACAGAGCACCTTCTTACCAGCACATAAGGCTCTTTTAATTTTATTTTTGAATCAAAAACGAGTACCGTGAGTGCTATTTAAATCCTATTAAAAAAGGGGTGGCCAGGTCAGAATATGCCATTAAAGCAGGGACTCACCTAATCTGTGGGAATCATCTTCGAAATTCACCAATGTCACACCGATCAGATGAAGGTCGGCTGAACCACCAACTGTTTTGCCCTTAGTCGAGGTTTACGCATGCAACATGTTGCTCAACCACATTTTCTGCCCACTGGCCTATGACTACCCTACGTTGCGTATCCTTTCTCGTTCGTGTTGATGCTCCCCCGCACCAGAAAAAAAAATCGCGAAGGCCGTTGCAAGCTCACAAGGAAAAGAAAAATGAAAGTGAGAAATGAAGACTCGAATTCCGTCCTCAACATATTTAGGTGCTTCACTTGCTCGGTCTGGGTAGGTTGGTAAGTGATATTTGGGACAACTTCTACTATGACGGACTAATAGAGCAGTCCTTCTCTTCGAGACTTCCTCCAACTCTCTGCCTATCAAAAGTATCACGACGCGTGGCTGGCAACGGTTGGTGCCAGATGTACCCAAGGGACAGTCAGTCGTCTGCCAAGGGCGGAACAGAACCGACTGCTTCAATTCCAACTTTGATTGTGGCTGGAAATTCCTAATGTCCGGATTTGTCTCTTGTCTCCAAAAGGTTTTATTATTTATTTATTTATTTATTCGTTTGTTCCTTTTCGGTCAAGTGCATGCCACCGAGAAGACAACGACTTCAAAGACATTATCAACCAGCCATAAAACACTCCAGTCATAGTGTCAAGGAGAATCACTTAAGGACGCATAGCTGGTAGGAAGTTAACCCCAACAAATTCCTAAAGAGACCATCATTCAATGGTTCAACATTCAGTTACACATAAAAAAGGAGTGCGCAGTCATGACAAGAAATAAACCAGAGACAATTGAGTATAGACTAAAAGTGGAATACGAAAAACAACAAGGATTCATATACGAGGTAACTTGTGATGCGTAGGGGGGGGGTCTAGCTGCATAATTCTTGCAGGTTGGAGAAATTATTGAGGTGTCTTTTTTAAATGTTTGCAGGGTTAGGTAGAATAGAATTTCGAATAACGATTGACACAAAGTAACTTTTTGGATATGAAAGGTCATAAAATATCTGTTGTGGCCTGTTTAGGGGCCATAAAGAAAGACACGGAAGACGAAGGTAGGTTGAAACAAGTATATTGAAGATATATACAAAACAATAGTGTTAGTATTAAGTAGATTAGCACTGCATCTACTACTCGACTTCACTTCACACTCTCCTCCTATCCGACTCTCGCAGTTTGTATTTATGAGAGGAGGAAGAGTTCATTCTACTGTAGGAGGGTGTACCACAACAATATCAAAAATAGTCGTAATGTTATTATTTAAAACAAAAAATTCTTACAATCTAAAAATATTTTCTGGCTTCAGATAACCTGCAAAGGGTTGATAAGCCGTAAAAAACGAATCAATTGTTTTCAAAATTCCCCTCCCAATGACGATATTCAGTCCCCCCGAAGGTGTCATGTGGCACAAGGCCTTTTTAACGTGGGAATTCCCGAAAATAGCCCATTTGAACCCGTATAAAGGGGTTCAGGGCCGGTTTTACCCCCCGAAGGAGAAAAATACCGTTTTTGCTTAATAACACGAAGCAGCATTTTCTTTTTAAAAAACTTAATTATTTCAACATCGGTGCGTTCCATACTAATAAGTGTTTTAATAATTATGAGTTGGAACTTTTCTCAATATGCAATAAACGACGGGGCGTATAATAAAGAGGTGTTCGGAAAAGCCGTTTAAAATGTCAAAAAGTGGAAAAATAATACACGGGTTGATCTTTGTAATCTCAGGATTAAGGTCGGAAAATTTCCTCAAAAAACAAAAAAAACAAAAAAAAAAAACTAAAATTAGAGCGTCTTTAATTTATCATTCAATTGAGATTTATTTTTTCTTGTAAATAAGAATTTAGGTACATAGGGAATACGGTGGAGTAATGGATAGCGGCTAAGATTGAGGAATCGGAGAGCCGAGTTCGAATTCATTATACATTGGGAAAGGTATGAATCCTCCTCTTCTCCCCCCCAAGCTATGGATAAATAGCAGGGCAGACCAAGTTCTATAGTGGTTTGGTCTACCGCAGAAAGAAATGGCAATCTACTACGGGAAAAAATCTGCCTCGTCAGTCATGTATCGAAAGATACATGATCGCCTTAGCATGTATCACGCATGGCACATATCTGCCTGAATAGGTGAGAACGGTATTCAAGATAAATGCGATAATGAAATATGTTTTGGTCAGCGAATGTTCCTAGCAAAGCCAGAATTATATCATAGAAAACAAATTAATGAAATAAATAAATGATGTGAGCATCCGGTCACGTCCCCATCTTGAACAACTTGCCCTCAGCTGCACCGGTTTATGTCAGATCGGTGGCAACAAGTTAACTATTTATGAAATAAATTTAGGCTTCTTATGGGTGTTTTAAATCGAAAAAAAAAATTCAACCCTTACTAACAAGCCTTGAAAAAAATAAAATTACATAAAAGATATATTTTCACAATTCATATATTAATTTTTTAATCGCTATTACCCCCTGCAAAGCCACTAAGACACAAGGAGTTACAGGGTGTGGAAGAATTAGGAACAGAAACATTAATCAACGTGAAGAGAAATTAATATTTAGGAGGACAGTAGAGAGCGATTGACATTGCATTTAAATTTTTGAAGATTAAAGTTGACTGGAAAACATAGGGCCGAAAGGGAGTTTCACAAGTGAGAAGTGCGATAAAAGAAAATGTTTGTATAAAATTTACGGCTATATCTAACCTGCTCAACTGTAAATTGATGAGATCTTATAGAATCAAATTCCTACATTTGTTTTAAATCTCAAATTTGTGTATGTTCAACACATAGAGACTCCCAACCAAGTATAACAACTGATGCATTCTGATTGGTTGAAAAATATTAATTAGGTGTCGTCAACTACGTCCGAAGGTAACGACCCAAATTTTGACCTCGAGTTGACGCCACTAAATGTAAACATGTTCACGATCCCCTACGTGACCAAGAGAACTAATAAAAATGAAACTTCGACCCGACTTGGTCAGTGGGCCCTTAAAATATTCAACTCATTCACTTAACTTCATTGGAAATCGACACAACAACAAAGGAGACGAACCAAATTCTTCAACGCGACAACAAACCTTGTCAACCAATTCCAGGCTTAACATTAATTACTTAAATTAACATAAACCCAATTTGCGAAAGAATGCTTACTCCAACGAAATATATTATTCCACAACAAGCATTTCCGGTAAAAGAACGACAACTCTATAGAAATAACAGTGAGTCATTTTTTTAACTTAATACACCTCCCCCAAAAAAACCC